TGGACAAGTATATAAGCATCAATCTAAAGGTGTGACTAGTAAATTGCGAAATCATATCGAGGATTTGTGTAAGAAGTATCCATATAGGTTTCAAGACAAAAAGCAAAAAACATTGAATTTCTATGGTAATTCTAAAAATGATGAAGTTTTAGAAAGTGTTGGTAGTGGTGGACAACTTGTCAAGTTTACTTAGAAAGGGGTGAGAGATCAGATTATTAAGTATTTTATATTATCTGAGTTACCTTTTCGACACGTGGAAGATGAATGTTTTCGGTGTTATACAAGGTATTTTTTTTTTCAACTTTTGATTTTCCTTCAAGGATTACAGTTGCTAGGGATATACATCATTTGTTTATCGATGAGAAGAAGAAATTGAGTAAACACCGGGTTCGTTTGACTACTGATTGTTGGACATCTGTACAAAATGTAAGTTATTTGTGTTTGACTGCTCATTGAGTTGACGATGATTGGAGACTTAAAAAATGAATCATAAGTTTCATCCACATCCCCAGCCATAAGGGTGATATGGTAGGAAAGGAATTGATATCCAGTCTTCAGGATTGGGGAATTAATAAGATTTTCTATGTGACAGTTGATAATGCTTTATCTAATGACATAGTAATAATGAAATTGAAGAGTGGTTTTCTAGAGAAGAAGAATGGTCTAGTTCTTGGGGGAGAAATGCTTCATATGAAGTGTTGTGCTCACATTCTCAATCTTATAATTTGTGATGGTATAAAAGAAATTAGCAATGCTATTTCATCTATCCGCAATATTGTACGGTATGCTAGATCTTCCCCAGCAAAACTAAAAAGATTTCGAGAGAGCTGCAAGGATGCAAATATTGAGTCTCGAGGTTTATTGTGTTTGGATGTATCAACTAGATGGAATTCCACCTACATGATGTTACATGCTGCAATAAAGTATAAAAAAACATTTGATATTTTGAAAAGTGATGCAAACTATACAAAGTACTTTGATGAAGAAAGATCTAATGGGAAAAATATAGATGGACCACCAACACATGCCGATTGGGACCAAGCTGAAGCATTTATCAAATTCTTGAAGGCTTTTTATGATATGACATTGAAAATTAGTGGCTCTTTATATGTAATGTTAAACACTTTCTTTCAAGAAATATGTGAAATTCATGGGGGAGTTGAAAGAATTAGTTAAAGAACTAAATAGTATGATAGGATCCATGTCAGTTAGCATGAGAAGAAAATATGATAAGTATTGGGGTAATCTTGAAAAGTTTAATCAATTGTTGTTCATAGCAACAGTTCTTGACCCCAGATGCAAGTTGAAATTGCTTAAAG